TGAAGTCTGCTTCCTAACACTGTAAGACCTTCCACTCCTAAAACAAAACAATACGACAGCAACAACAGCAACAAAAACTCTTGAAAGTACATCTTTGCTCTCACCCCAGAGAGGGGGGAATAATTCAGCCCCCTACAGTGTTAATAAAAACTTTTTGTCTGGATGGAATGCCATTCTGGTTGCACCTGGCAAACTCCCCCTAGTCCAACACTGTTCCAGAGTAAGGCCTGAGCAGTTTCGTTCTTCCTGAAATCTAAGGTGGCTGTGGCACTAGGACAATGACTTCTCTGTGTGCAGACATACATTCCAGGCTTCCATTGCCTTTAATTATTCAAAGAAGAAATCAGTGCTTTTTTTTTTTAGCTCAAATAGCTTCTAAAATTCTGTTTTAACATTTTTCTATATATCTGAGCTTTTCTGCAGGAAGAATGTAGGAACCACTGAAGACTTTTTCTCCATTTTATTCATATTTATATGTTTAGTTGACCTTCAGTGAGCGTAGATCTAACAACCTATTTTATAGCATTGTGTTGATGAGGTTGAAATGGAAGCAAAATTCTATAGATTTCTACACACATGTATGTGTATACACACACCTAAATAGAAATATATATAAATTTCACAAATATCTGATATGCTGAAGACACTTAAATTCATCACTAAATTGCACAACAATCAGAAGCCACACCCCTCCTTCCTCAGAAGCAAATGAAATACCTGGGTACCTTTCTTCAGAATGTGGAAGACTGTTCATTCCCTTTAATTTGCTATTTTCAAAAGGTATTGTTGGGCCATTCAAATGTGTATACTGATGGTCTACGAGCCTTTTAATGAAAATTAGTAAAGCTCATTAGAGCGGTAATGGGATTGTCAATACGGGTACCGTACAGCAGATGCCATTGCTTATTGGGTATTAACTGTAGGAACATTAATCACAATCACCTGAAATGCATATTTTACTTGAATTAGTCTGCTGTTTATATTCATTGCCCTTTATTAGAGGGAAAGTTCCCGATCTACATTGTCCACAGACAATGAGAATTTGTTTGAATGGCCTCTTTAGGTCAATACTTCCTATTTGAATCTGAATGTCAGTGGCCTTGGAGTCTTAACTTAATAGCCCTGTTGTACCTTGTATTTTGCTTTCAGTGACCTTTTAAAAATCTCTATGATTTTTTGATTGTTCTCAAAGTCAAAAATAAAAAAGTGAGCCTAAAATTAATTTGTAGCCTAGGAAGCAGAATACTTAGAAGTTTAGGAAATGCTATGTTTGTAAGAGAAGACATATTTGAATATCATTGATGAGAATGATAGACTGACCCTTTTCAATATACCTCTAATTTTTATTTGACTTTCATGTCATGTGTCAGAATTCAATGCCAGTGGAAAAGATGCAGATAGGACACTGTGAAGGATGAATAGGCCGCTGGGGGAGCTGCCCTTTCTCTCATCTGATAAGCTGTTTCCTATCTGCTTGGTTTGATTCTGTTCTTGTCCCTGCAGACCCCGGCATATCAAAGGCTTCCTTACTGATGGTGATGATCTGCCTCCCTTTGAGGGGTGACTGTGTAAATAAAGCACCTAAACTTATTTTATGATTTTGTATTGACACTTTGGTTTTCATTTAGCCCCAAATCCTCCATTTCTGGCATTGTTTTAGTGTTGATCTTACAATGTCTTCATATACACCATGGATGTCTGATGATGACTTCAACACTAAAACTGCATTGTACAATGAGCTTGAGCTTCAGAGACCGAATGCTCAGTGGCCGGTCTGCTGTGTTAAAACCGAGTCTGTAGAAATCATCTTTAAGGTGTTTTTATTGTTATTATTATTTTAAAGCTTCGATCTAATGGACACCGGGATATGCGGCTTTTAAATACATCTATCATGTTCTTTATACACGACTTTCACATATACATTTAAAATAAAGCCATTTAAGTGGCCTTCTCTGCTTTGTTATAATCTAAGCAGAATCAAGCTTTACATTTCTTTATAGATACTGGAACTGGAATTTTTAGAGCCAAATGACATACTCGGGTAGAGGAGATTCAGAATGCCAATTAAAGATGATGATGATTGATGGGAAAGGACATAGAGAAGATTAATTTATTATTAATTTATTCAGTGTGGCCGTGTGGGGAAGAAAGCAGATAAAGGGGTTCAGTGACCCCCAACTTCATTTCCCAGGTTCTGACACGCACATTTGGTTTAAGCAGAAAAAAAAAAACTGGGGCAAAGGACAAGGACGTCTGTGGAGCTAAGAAGTCCTAGTCAAACAGAGGTTTAGCTGTCCATTGCCCACCTCCCTTCTGCTTCGGCAAGGTCATCCTGAAGAAGGAAACTGTCCTTGCTTGAAGAGAGCAAGCGGAGTCTCTGGAAAATGCCACTGCTGCCCTAGTAAGTGGCCTGGACTTCCTGTCATGGAGAGTCGTCCCCATTTGGATGAAGTCTGTTCTGCATGCTCATTGTTAGGACATTGTTTGAACCCATGTCACAACAATGTACACCAGTCAGTCAGTTCTGTTTTTCTGGGGATGAGAGGTCAGTAATGCAAAGACACAGCTGAAGAGGGCAAGACGGGGTTAGCAAGGCTGAGGACCAGTGGCGGGGATCCTCATTCAGTTGCTCGTACAGGCCAGGTGCCTTTTAGTGTTCAATATGTTCTTCATGCTTGCTTCCCCTCCATCCCAGTCCTTGTGATCTCCATCAAAAGGATACACACAAGATACTCAGGGTAGAGTGTGGAAGGTAGGCATGTCATAGACTATAGTGGAACACTCTTAAGGGGTGAGGGTTACGAAAGGCCAGAGTGGTCATTGTGCCAGCCTACATTTTAGGCAGGCTTTGTACTGTTTCTGGGTTTTGGTTTATGTTGGATTTTTTTGATACAAAATCTCCCTATATAGTCCCTCTTGGCCCCTCTCACAGCAATCCCCCTTCCACCGCCTTCCAGAGTTCTGTTTTATACTATTTCCTGTCCAAGTGATTATCAGGCCCATTGGATAGACTGTAGTGGGAAGACATAGGGTATGTCCTCTCTCTTTGCTAGAGAGCCCTTGGCTTGACAGTCATGATAAGGTAACAGCTCTATCCACCCTGCACAATCATAAAATTACTTAAAATATTAGAAGACTTTATTTTGCAAGTTATTATTTTGTAACTGAATTGGGAGGTTCTTGCACATAAATGTTGTAGATCACCACATGGCATCACAATATTAAAGGTTTGGACGAGCCTGGGACCTTCCAGCTAGTTCAGAGTGTCATGTCTCCACTCAAGGCCAGAGATAAGACTCTGTTCCCTTTCTTCTGACCACTAATTGGAGTCCTATAGTTTTAGTTCCTGTTTTTCCAAGCTGCTTATTATGAAGGAGAGGTTCCTCACAGTGAATTTCAAGACAGTTACTATGTAAGAAGCTACACTACAGCCTGTGCTACCCATTCCATAATTATGTTTTCTTTCTTTAGAAATAAGTTGTTGTTATAGGACATACCCATTTATCCAGCTGTATGGTTGGGGATTGGCTAACAATAAAATATTCGAACTTTATTAGGTAGGGGTTTTATTAGTCTTAGTGCAATTTCCCTATGGCATTCCGTGGTAGATTATTGGCTTTTAAAATGTCACTTGACTGGAAAGGAAGTTAATTAGAGGCTTGCAATGTCTAGAAGGCATGTCAGTTTCTGTAAGTAATGACCTTCGGGTCTTTTGTCACTAGAAAGAGCAGTCAGTGAGTGTGCTAGTTATAACCTAGACTATCTTAAAGTCAGTATTTTGGACTTTTATGAAACTTGATTAAAGTTTCATTTATTTCTTTATGAGTAAACTCATAAGAGTAGTATATTTTTCATGAGTTTCTAATTTTCTATTTCAAAAAGAGAAATAAAATTTAACTTTTGAACTTGAACTCTTCAAAATCTATGTGTCTTTAGACATTTAAGTTGCTGTGGTTAGGTTTCTAAGACTTTTCAGATGCTTACAACAAATGTCCTTTACCTTATAAAAATTTGTATCGTGTGTGTGTGTGTGTGTGAGTGTATGCATGTGTTGTGTGTGTGTGTGTGTGTTGTGTGTGTGTGTGTGTGTCTGTGTAGGCATCCACATTCCAGAGCCACACAAGGAAATCAAAGGACTAAGGAGCTGAGTCTCTACTATATTTATTATATTATTATGTTGCACATAGTTTAGGAAAATGGACAGATTATATATAGTATTAAACTTAAAGCACAGAAAATAACATTGACAAGAGTGGCCAACAGGAAATATTCCTTAACTGTTACATAAGCTACAGACTACCAGATGGCTTATATTCTCCTAAAATATAACCTGTTATTTGTCTCTTAATTAGTGAATTTAATACATCTGTATTTATTGTATTTGCTGTTAATTTTGTGCTATTTCTGCCCCTATATTTCAATTTAAAATTACCCGAGGGAAATAAAACAGCCTTACATTTTTCCTTACTTTATCATACAGCAGGTGAAATAAGTCACTGACATATGTGTGCATTCTCAGTTCACATTCTTTCAAATAATTTTTCAAACATCGAAGCATACATCCAGCAAATAGGAAATTCCAAACATGTTCCATATAATCATTAGTATTTCAACATCATTTTCTTTCTACTGACTGAAGTATTTGCTGGTGTTAAGAACAGGTTTGTATGCCAATCAGTATAGTGTCTGCATGTCATTAAAACATTTTACAAATTTGAAATATAAGTCACTGAAGGAAACCACCCATTCCTGATGAAAACAAAGGGAGGTATTTCAATTTTCTGGTATTCAAGAATAGTAGATCACTTACTGCTGTGGAGTCAACTTTAGTAGGTTAGATTGCCAAGTGGCTTAGAACTTATGAATCACAAATAAGTGTTGTCTATTGCTTTTCATGCCCCGTAGTTAATTGTAATATCAAAGGTCATGGCATTATGTCTTAATTCCCTGTTCCTGTATTCATGGTCATGTGTGCATAAGATGTACTGTTTCTTTTTCAGCGCCTGGCTATGGAAGCTGAGAAAGTCCAAGCAGCCCACCAGTGGAGGGAAGATTTTGCAGTAAGGACCTTTTTTTTTTAATAATTACTTCATTTAAGTTGATTAGTACTTTTGTTTGCATAGTTTTGGTCACATTGCAATATATTCAGTGATGGGATTTTACAGTGTTATAGGAATTTGACCTCAAAGTGCCAACGTCTGTTCTATTTTGGGTACCAGAACCTAGGAAATTAGTTAGAATGCTCCTGGTCATGTTTATATACAAGAATAGAAAGAGAAAAAATACGGTAAAGGTTCTCACATTCTTAAAGGCATTTTAAAGTATATTAAAGCAGCATTGAATCATACTCTCTGAATGATCTTATTTTTAAAACCAAGCTTCACTTAATTGGTCTTTGTTAGAAAATGCATATAATTTGTAACTGTCTTGCTGGGTAAATTGACTGGAGTAAGCATGCAAGTATTAACTTATCAGTTTGATGCATTTGAGTTTTGCTGGAAGCAGCTCCACTTTTACTCTGAACTACTTTTGGACATGCCAGTTGGCATTAGATTTCATTTTTTTCTTTGATAAGCAAGCGTGTTTTGTGTTCTAAGGGATGCTGGGCTAATGATGCAACATTGAAGAATTCCTCCTGGTAATGCTGAACTTTTCCTTACCCATCTACTCTGATAGCCAACAGAGATGGCCAGTCTCAGATTGTCAGCTGATGCCTATATTTATGATGGAGCTGTTTTCAGTCTCTGATCACTGACAGACTCCAGACAACTCTTTTTTGGTCATGTAATCTTTCCCTCAATTGATGCTGTTTCAGAAAGGACTAGTGTGTGGGTGCTAGTTCATGATACTTTCCAAGACCTTATTCTAAAATGTGTTAGATTTGAAGTTCAGAAATCTGTCCATCAATTCAGTAGGTCTAGGAAGTAGCCTGACTACTTTGTGTTTGTTATTTTGCTTGTTTATGTATAAAGAAACTATTCTAAATAACATAATGATTTTTATAGACTTCCTTGCTTGACACATCTGATTCTTTGTCTTTATTGGTAGCAAACAATCTATTAAGTAATGACTATTTGACTGTCATCTTATTTGATTTTTCTCAGGGAATTGATCATATTGACTGAGTTGTTGCATCTTGTTAGATATTTAATTTACCTACAGCTGTTGGTCATGGTTAGGTTAACAAAGGTCAGTTTGTCACCTGTAATATATGAATAGAAATTGTCGAACAAGTAAAAATCATTAGAACCTGTAACACTGACAAATGCGAACTTTTGGAATGAGAGGGTTAGAATGTCATTAGTACCCTTAAGGTAAGATAAATGGTCTTTAACCTGTGTTTCTTCAATATAACTTAGAGCCATGCTACCCAAACAAATATGTTTGGTGATTTATTTGGATGGCAAGTCTTCTTCCTGCCCTTTCCCAAATTTAAAGGTGGTTTGTGGCATATCACGAACATAAACTAGTTCTGATCGATGTGGTATTATTATAGTGCAATTGCTGTTGATTGAGTTTGGACCTCCAGTAATCAACATAACTCTAAAGATTGTCAGCATCTTACAATCTCCCTCATGTAATATAGAAATCATATACTTTCTCTTTGAAAAAATCATTGTTTCATTACATCATTTGTTATTTTAGGTCATTGTTAAAAATAACAAGCTGACACAGTCTTAAGCTTATTCTTTCTTTACTATTGTTATTGTATTCAACAGTAGCTGTGTCTTTCTAGACAGTAGATTTTTCCCCACATACTTTGTAAATGTTGAATATTTGACTCATTTTTGCTAAAGCTGTCATTTTAGCAATGCCTTTTTTTCTCCTTAGAACAGTGATAGGTGACCATGAAATACAGCAGATCATTCAGTGTGTCTGCTTTTGCATATTTACCACACCTAAATATTATCAACTGGAAGGCACTCTAGCATTTTGCTTAAATGCTAGACTTAAATGATGAGGCACTGACAATTTTATGCCATGGCCTCATTTTTGACATGTCAGTTCTCCTGTACATGGAATTCTTACTTCTATTATGTACCTTTGATGCCTGTGTTTGTAAAGGAGCACTGTTAGAAAATTTCATTCAGGGTAACGAATGTGTTCACATTGACACAAAAGCCATCACTGAGGTTTATATGGCTGGAAGATGACTCATTTACCTTAGCATTAAATGTTCCTATCAGATAGTGTTCACTGTGTGGCAGGATTCTTGAACAAACTCTGTTGCTAAGTTGCCATTAAGCTACAGTGCACTCAGGACCCGTTTGACACCATACTGTTCTTAAAAGAAGGGGAAGCAGGTCAAAGCCTGTCCACAGATTTTCCTGCACTCTGCCTGCTCTACAGGGCTCTACAAGGCACTCATCTTGTCAGCATTTGCATGCTTGGGGGTCAGTGTGTCTGTATTTTCCATGCCATCGTGTGTCCACTCTCCTCTTTGGGAGGCCATGGTGTGGTAGAACATTGAAATTGTGAGGATGTTTATGCCTAGAGAAGAGAACCTGGACTAGACTTGCTAAATCTTTAGATTCAAGTGACCAAAAATTAGTAAAGTAGAACACTGTTCTCCCGTCTTTTCCTGACAAAGTAGACAGTGTCTTAATCCATAGCTATATCATGCTAAATTAATCCTCGAGATCCGGAATAAGATTCAAATTGATGACTGGTGATTAAACATAACCAACATTAGACCTCTGTTTTGATAAAGCACCCGGCACAGTTGCCAATTTTGACAGTATTTTGAGCAAATATTTTGAAACATTTAATTTGATGTTAAATATTGCATTCCAAAAGGTCCTACTTTATACTTCCTAATCCTTTTAGCATTCAAGGTATTTAGCTCTTTCTACCAGTGCAATAGTTCTTTAATAATTTAACACTAAGGTAATTTAGAAGGCAGGAAGAGTTTCCTAAAAGCTGCATTAACATTTCAAAATGAAATATAATATTCTGCTTCTTCCCTCAAGTACAAGTTGGCAAGTTTCATTAATATTACTTAGGCAAAAGTTGATTAGCATTCCCCACTGTGTAAAACAGAAGAATCACATAAACAGCAAGAACAAAAGGCAAAACACTAAACGCTGGCAGCAAGAAGGAGCTCATGTAATTCACATTCTCCCTCAGCTCTGTTTCGTTCCCACAGGAATATACAATCGAGGGAGCAACTGGACAGAAAGCGCTGCTGGTGGGCACGTGGTGCTAATGACGGGGGAGGGAGCAAAGGGCTTGCACTCTCAATAGATTAAAATTTATGTGGTCACGCATTTACAAGCTCAAAGCAATATTTGTAAATAAGCCGCATCTACCAGCTGTGGTTCAGGCCTCCATGATCGTGTGAGCATTAAAGGAGGCAGGTCATGTCACTTAAGATGGACAAATGTTTTGATTAAGGGCAGGTGGGTGGAGGGGGAATGAAGCTTGGTAAACTAATTGTTCCGCATGATATAGTTTTTATTATTGCCACCAAACAGATCTTTTCCAATTGCATCCAAAATCTCATTTGGTTGCATTGCCATGGCTGGTTAACTAAAGCAATTTTGTTTTCAACTAAGCTTGCAATATTAATTGTACTTACACATGTATAAACATAAGGGGTGCCTAATTTGTATTTTAATAACTAGGATCTTTATGTATGGCTTATTAGTGCCAGCTTGTTACTGTGTAGGCTGAGTGGAGATGTCTACAAATTGGCCAGTAAGTAAAACATTTGCAGCTTCTGCTGCATGGGGAAAATAAATTAGAAGAGGAAAATTTTTCTGGTAAAGTTTAATGTTACTGAATCAATCAGGCTAATTTAGTACTTCAATATAACTTTATTTCTGTAATTGTCAAAATCATTTTGCTATGTCATATATTGAAATGTTCTTTTAACATCATCACATTCAAAATTTTGTGTTTATGTGAATAAAATTCCCTGGCACAGGCATTCTGTATTATTTCATCTGGCCCCATTCATGTCATGGAATGGCATCAGCTTTGCTAATCATAGCACAAACGATTTGTGCAATGGGAAAACATACGGATATACTGTGTTTATTTTGGTTTTAATGCATAAAGACAAACAGTATTCTGTGTGACAGTTTGGTGCACATGCTGTATATGTGAAAGGAATATTTTTTATGAGTAAAAATAGGAGGGTATCTTGCTGTCTTTATAAGTGATAAAGGAATTCGTTGGCTCGTCAGAATAATTTAAGCTGTGACTCAATTTTGTCTTTCTTACTTTTTCTCTCTGGTTGGTTCACTTGCATATTTTAATTTTTGTGACATTAATGACATATGCAAAAACCTTTTAAATTGCTGTTATTTTGATGCTCCTGAAGAATCTTCCCTCATCATAAAAAGAGACTAAAAAGAGCCACAGTGCAAAATTAATTTTCCCTAATATTGGTAAAGGAAACAATTCAGTTACATTGAATTGGACTAATTTTGATGCTTTTATCTGAGCATATGTGCTCACGATGAAAGTACAACACAGCAGAGGAGTTTATAACAGCTGTGGATTTTTAAATGGATGCTTAATCTGGGCAAAAGCTCACATCTTGTTTCTTATATTGAAAAGGGAAAGTAGTATATTCAACTGCTTATTAACTGGCCAAAAATGTTGCTTTCACTCATAGTAATCTTCTTATGTGCTCACCCTGACCTCATGTTTTATTATTCCGATTAAAGCCGCTTAGAACATTGAATGTTTAATGGGCTATTGCTCTTAGTAAGACATGACCACACATAATAGAAATTTAGATGTTATAGAGGCAGTGTAAGATATTATCCTTACCTTGCTGTCTACTCAGCAAGGGGGGGCGGGCAAACGGAGAAGTTCTTCAGGGAGGAGCGAGACCGTACGGCTGGTCTGCATGTTATTCACAACCAATCTGCTGCCTCCATGTTCGCAGATTGAGATTAAGGAAATGTAGTCAATTACTGAGCTTTCTGAAATTGGTGCCAGTGTTTAAAAATTCCAGCCACAAACAGTGCCCCGAATCATCCTTTTTGACATTCAAGGGGTCAGTTACTTCCAATAGCTAGTGCCTAGTTACAGCTGTCAAAAAAAGAAC